GGGGGGGGGGGTTGTTGTTCTCACTATATTCCCAGAACCTAGAACAGTACGTGGTACATACGTGTTAATATAATGAATTTACGTCATCAGAATAAATGAATTCACTCTTTCAAGAAGTATTTTCTATTTCTTGACTTCATGGAATGTTGATATACTAATTTTAACGGGAACAAGTTCATTGGAGCCAAAACAGCAGGAGGTTAAGTGGTGGGCTCTGGGGCTCACAGGCTGACTTGAAGGCCAGCTCTGCCTTTGTGAGCACGTGGCGTGAGGCAGGTTGATTAGTATTTCTGAGTCGCTTGCTCCTCACTTGTAAGCTGAGGATAGTGTTTGAGTCTCCCCCAGAGGGCTGTGGAGAGGGTCTGATGCGAAGGAGCTGGAAAGCACCTGGGCGCCTGGCACAGGGTAAGTGCTCCATAAACTGTCCTTATGGGTGAACACAGAGGCTTCTTAGTGCTCCCAAAGCCAGTTTGCTTAATGTTCTTAGAGAGTGAAGGATGTCACCAAATTTATAGCTAATGTTCGTTATAGGTTGTTTCTTAAACCATATTGGTTCTAGGAAGCTGGGAGTCCCTTCCAGTCGCTCAGCTTTGTGCTTCTCCTTTGCCCTGTAGAGCCAGCTCCTATGTCCTGTCTTTGTGTTTTTGCTGGATTCTGCTCCGACTTCTCTGTGGATTCACAGACAGTTGAATTCCTTGGTAGATAATATGTTCCTTGAGGGTAAGTTCCTGATCTGTCATTTCCCCTGCCAGCTCCCAGAGGAGCCAGGTCCTTAGGAGGTGTTTATTAACGGACTTATTCTGACACTCCCATCCCAGGAAACTTCCCACTGACTTTATTAAGGAGTCACACACATGGGGATTCAGATGGCATCTTGCAAATCCCAAAGTGGGAACATGTGCTCTTAGGGGAAAAAAATCTTCTAGAAGGAAACAGAATTGTAGGTGCAGGTGTCTTTGGATACCATTCAGATTGTCTGCCTGTGTCTCCATACATGCCTAGGACCATATGCATTACATATGTTGTCTATTTTAAAATAAAACACTGAAGTGGTCCAGCTGTTCCAAATTCTGTTTCAAAGAACTTGTGGGTGCTTCCCAAGCAACACCATATAGTCATTCTTGACTGTCCCAGTCTGTTCTCCTACAGCGCCGAAACTTAAAAATTAAATGCTCCTTGCAATTCCATTTTCCCCTCTGCAAACAATTGGATTTGGTTGATTTAAAAAAAGGAAAACTCCAATGTTGACATTAGCAAGGGGGAAATAGCCCAGAGTCAAAGTATGGGGAAGTTAATTTTTAGATTCAGGACACCTTGAGATCACTTCCTTTGCCAACGTTTGGCACGTGTCAACAGAATGAAAATGAATTTTAACACTAGGGTGAGCAAAATAGAATTAGGAGAGTCAAGTGGCTGCTTAAAACTCCAGTGATGTTTGGATTATCCCTTGGTTTAGGAAGATGCATACCGATATTATTATTATTACTATTATCATCATTATTTAGAAATCAAGGATTGACTACTGCATTTTTAAGAATTGACTTCAGTCTTTGCCTTTTACCTTTTCCAGACCTGGATGACCAGTTCCTAGGCTCTGCTTGGTCTGCAAGGCTCCAAATGCACTGAAATGGGCTATGTAACTGTCTAGGCTCTGCAGCTGGAGCATAATTCAACACATCTTTCAGACAATGCTACTTGT